CGCTTCGACATTTAATGAGTTGGAGAGGGGAGTAGATACTTTTCTACTGCAATGTAGAAGTGCTAAACATTCTGTGACAAAAGAGACTTCACCAAAGCTATTAAAAGGAAAAATTCTTCGTTCGAACATGAGGTATTTGGAGTCTGCAGAAGTCACACATAATCGTAGAAATGATATTCGACCATCCACGGGGATTGTGCTGAAGAAGATTGGAAAATTCATGGTGAAAGTTCTAAATATCAGTGATCTCAGTACACACAACCGACATGTTGACGAAATACTATTCCAGGAACCAGGTGAGTCTGTTCCAATTTCGGTTGTTAATTCTAATGCTAATGAGTACATTCTAGATAATGCAGAGACTTTTTTCCAATACACTACCGGACAGGCACAGGATGAACTCAAGAAGAAGACGTACGATCGATTACAGACACTTAAACTTCAGTTTAAGCAGTGGAGGATGTGGTGTTTGAATGAACTAATGACTCCTTTGTACTTGTTGAATGCTCGATTTCGAATCTCAAATACAGTACATTGGTCCGCGCTTATCTAGTACTTCTTGACCCAATTGCGTTATTTCTAGGATCCCTAGTCTGTACGATAATTCGAATGCTTCTAATTATCATGGAACAGCAACCCTACCTCGCGGAATATAACCTCAATAAAATAACCGTAACCAGGAAGAATAACTTAAACCACTGAAACTCTGACCTGGCAGTTTAAGCATCTTCATTTGGAAGAATTATGACGCTTTATTTTTGAAACCAAATGTCGCGGTTGAAATATCGACGACCTTACAGAAGATGAAGCACAGTGTAATTAACTATCTCCAACTGCCGAACCAGAACTAGTGAATAGACAATTGTACAGGATCCCGTTTATTCATTAGTTACAGTAAGTTAACCCACTGGTACAAGAATGATGGTACGATGTCAATTACAAAAGTCTAAAGAACAAAAAAGCATAAAAGTCTCTACAGTTTCTATGTTTATTACCACCGGCCTTCAGTTTCAACCATAAACCTCAGACATCACACGACACAACTACGCAATCGCTTACGATATGGTGATACGAGCGATAGAAAAAGTACAAGATCAAGACCTAGAGTTGAAGGATCTTTATGCTGAAGAATTCTGACGCCTCAGAGTGAAAGCAGAAATACTTTGGAAGTCACAAGGCCGATGTTCCTCCTAACGACCAAAGACACAACTAATGAAAGTACACCTAATGTCCGGACAATGTTGGAGGACAAATCAAATAGCTACGGAACTGAGGAGATACAACTTGGTGGTGCTCGTATTCAATGAAACCCATTGGACTCAAGCTGGACAAAAAAAGTTAAATTCGAGTAAGATGCTGCTGTACTTTAGACATGAGGAAGCAAATGCTCCGCACAATCAGACAGTTGCTCTGACACTGCTCAAAAAATCACAATAAATACTTATACGATACGAATCTCATGGATTCAACATCATCAAAGCATCCTTTAAAACAAAGAAGTAGGGAATCATGGTGAATGTTATCCACTGTTATTTACCCACCAATGATAGGAATAAAGATGACAAAGATAAGTTATACAAGAAACCGCAGTCGACTGTAGAGAAATGTTCAGGAAAAGACCTGATCATCCTGATGGGACACCTAAACATCTAAGACTGAATAGACAACACCGAACAAGATATCATAGGACTACATGCACCAACTGGGAGAAAACAATGAGGATGACGAGAGGTTTATAAACATGTGTGCATTCAACAAAATGGTTATAGGTGACCCCGAATTTCCCCACATACACATACACAAAGCTACATGGGTTTTACCTGATCATTCTGCACTAATCTTTGTACTAAATAGTATACTTGTCAAAGTAAATACGTGGATATTTACCTAATTATCGTATACTATGGGAGAATTCATAGTGAACGGGAAATTATTAAAAGAATTAAAATTAACCGCACTCGTGCATTATCCCAGCCATCACACAAATCGAGTGGTTTATTTGGTGCCTCTGTAGCGTGGCGTCGAGTTGAGGTTAACTATGAACACCGCTACCAAGAAACACGTGCCAAATGAATCAGAAGGTGAGGGTTGAACGTAACCAAATAGATCCATAAAATCCCCGAGAAGCCAAATATCAGAAGGCAAGTAATGGACCAAGTCGAGTTATATTTGCTGGCGATCTCGTGGTATCGAGAGGATACCGAGATCGTGCCAGGATACAACCTTGGTTACAGAAGGTAACCGAATTCGCGCGAAGTTACAATCGAAGTGTAAGTACAAGAATGGAAGCACAAAATAGCTGTCATTAGCACAGTCAAACAAAAGCACGTTAAAACAAACACTGGTACAGTTGGTTATAATAATAATTGTTTTTATTAAACCAGTCGTGTTCTCGTGATAAATGTGAGTCACTACAGGAGCCCCCCGCTAGAAAGGGTTTACACTTTCGATAAATAGCGGTTTAAATCGTGGGACTGATCGGCTGACGAGTGATTGTAGGACGGAAGAATTGGCGAACAGGAAAGCGATCGTTGATCGTCGAGTTGCCAACGAAGGTCGTTTTCGGAGAACGGTACCAGGAGCGATGTGCTGTATTTGTTGCTTGAGTTGGCATGCTACACCAGAGTGGTTTGTATCCAGAATCTAAAGATGGCGTTTGTAGGGGTCCGGACCAGAAACGCTGCAGACGTAGGACGAAACCACGTTGAGCCGATGGACCAGAAGCAACCATAACGACCAAGTTCGAGACCAAGCGTATGCCAAGCATTCGAAACCAATATATCGACTGAGTACGTTGACAAGAGCATGGGTGATCAGGCCAGCTTTCGCCAAAGTTGACTGAAGTCGACGGTACCAAACGGGATTTGTCGGAGGCGTGGGCTCAGGAAACAAAAAGAAAATCAAAAAAAGAGAAGAGTGTAGCATGCAAGTAGCATAGGAATATTCCTGCACCGTATCGGTTGTCGACTGTGCGACTAGTCGCGGAAGCGTACGGGCAACCGTACTCGGCGACCGGAACGTGAGACGGTAGTCTCGTTCGCGTCACGTGAGCCTGCAATCTCATCCGAAGTCAAGGGCGGCGTGGTTTGCTGATCTGGACGTGAGACTGTCGTCTCATCCGTAGACGGTGCAGATGACGCGTGCTGTTGACTGGGACGTGAGAATGAGGTCTCAGATGCATCTAGCGTGGGACCTGAAGAAGATTTAAGGATCCCGCTAGGTTTGATATGTCTAGCATTGAATCTCAGGTTATCAGATAGGGCACTGTCACCGACGTGTGCTGGTTTGAGACGATCAATGCTGACGATCTCGACGCGTCCATATTGATCAACCTTGAAGGTCTTTTCGTGACGAGCGATCACGTGAAAAGGGCCTTCGTAAGGTTGTTGCCAAGGTTTGCGTACCGAATCTACTCGTACAAAAACATGTGAACAGGTAGATAACTCTCGAGAGAGCGACCTGTCGATGTTGTATTCGAGTTGACACCGGAGACAGTGTTCGTATAAATGCAGACAGTCGATGGACGTGGCCTGATTTACCGAAATTAGGTCTGCTCCGTGGTGTGAAGAATTCTCCGGGCAGACGCAATGTCGTGCCGTTTACCAGTTCAGCGGCGGAACATTGTATATCTGCCATCAGGCTCGTTTGAATACCTTAGAGGACGAGCGATAAGGTTTCGTACCAGTTGTCGTTCTCGTGTGCTCGGATAGCACTTTTAAGTTGGCAGTGAAATCGTTTACTTAACCATTTGGTGCTGGGTGGTAGACGGATATGCTTATGCGTATGCATTCCGTACCAAGCAGCCGGGTCAGCGAGGAGAATAGTTAATAGGGGAAAATTTCTCGAATAAAGCGTGGAATTCATCGTCACGCGAATAATAAGTGACAAGGATTCGGTACACATAAATGTGAGTCTATTATATTAATACTATTCTTATCGTTATCCGTCATGTCGAGTATATTATATATTAAAAAATATGAAAATATACAACAGACGTGGATAGATAAATCATAGACTCACCGAATTGGCTTTTTTGGAAGATTTGACCGAAAGTTAAGGCATGTTCCAAACTTTGGGCTCACCAATTGTATTCGAGTTGGTATTACCAATTGTAGCGTGGCGTCGAGTTGAGGTTAACTATGAACACCGCTACCAAGAAACACGTGCCAAATGAATCAGAAGGTGAGGGTTGAACGTAACCAAATAGATCCATAAAATCCCCGAGAAGCCAAATATCAGAAGGCAAGTAATGGACCAAGTCGAGTTATATTTGCTGGCGATCTCGTGGTATCGAGAGGATACCGAGATCGTGCCAGGATACAACCTTGGTTACAGAAGGTAACCGAATTCGCGCGAAGTTACAATCGAAGTGTAAGTACAAGAATGGAAGCACAAAATAGCTGTCATTAGCACAGTCAAACAAAAGCACGTTAAAACAAACACTGGTACAGTTGGTTATAATAATAATTGTTTTTATTAAACCAGTCGTGTTCTCGTGATAAATGTGAGTCACTACACCTCCTTGTATCAATGTTTGTGTCTAAGTTAATAAGAAAAACTAAGTTTAATAAGTAAATATAGCACACAGAAAAAACTACAATAAAGTATTAACCTTCAGGAGAAATTTGGCAATAGATTATTCTTTATCGGTGAGGGTGACTTGGTCTACGTAGCCTAATTGCTCCGATGATTCATTTCCGCTATTTCGTAGATATGAATTATAAAGTCGAGAAACCCCTATATATATTTCTGATGGAGATTTATTGAGTGTGTCATTAATTTAAGTGCCTTGAGATATTTTTGTCGTATTTACTCCCACTCCAGAAAGCATACATGTTTAGATAGACGATTATTAGATGTATTTAACGTGTCTCAATCACCTCTCTCGACGCTATTTCACATCACCCATCAAGCTGCTGTTTTACGTGGCATTTCTTCTTCTTCTTACTGTTATCGTAAATTAAATATTATATAAATGCCTTTGTTAAATCTTTCTGTAGATTTCGAAATAATTTGTAAATCTGTGTATACTCAATTATGGGGAATACTCCGACTCACTATAAAAGACGCTTTTCTGGAGACGTTTGTGGCAGACTCCCTAACTCAACACCACCTGGTGTCAGTGTTACTATCCCTCCACCGAAAAAACGAAATACTCATAGTTTGACAGTAAGTAACTTTTGATTGCCCTTTCAATAGGTTGATAACTTGTTTATATTGTGTAAATATTCGTTAGCAATTAGGTTGGTGAACAAGCTTGAATGATTTTATGTTCCATAGTGAAACAAAATGCTTAGATTATTTATGAGTGGCTCATGATATATAGTCATGCTCATTGTTTACTTTGATGTAAACTTCTGAGCGAAACAAGTATAGAATTAGATTAAATACTTATCAACCATGATACGTAGTTGTGTCGCATTATAAAAGAAATGGTGCTAGCAATGTTAACCATCAAGTCGCTACCAAACAACTAATGTATAGTTAAAAATAAAGATATGAGACTTATCAGTTCATTCTTATATGACTAATCGAATTTGTATGCTACTGAAGAGCCTCGGACCAAATCTTTGCATCGGATGTTTTTAGTTTCTTTTGGTGATTCTCTTTCATGATACCATCAGTCTCTTTAGATCCAGCCACTCGTAGACAATTTAGGACCTGGCCTAAATGCATATATATCATATTTGGGAAACCTCATTTCGGAGAAGTGAGAAAACCGAAAAAAAATACAAAGAGAAGCAAAAGAGAGCAAGTAATATGAACCACCGTGTAAGGTTAAATAAAGAAACACCAGCTTAAAAAAGGACAAGTAAAATAGAAAAAAACGTGAAGCATTTAATGATACTGAGATTAACCGGCCAGTCACAACTCATGTGCTCTAGCCCGTTTCTATACCAATATTTTCATATAGATATATGCACGGATGCTATTGCAACTGATTTTAAGCCGTGTTACCAAATGTCTACGGCTAAACATTATGACTATCTCTCCGGTCCTAAACACAGAGTTTAAATCTACTCACACAAACTTCACGAAGCGATGTTATTTCTTTGCTTAGTTGCCATTCATTTTCTCCCAGCCTACTCCCACACTAGTCACTATTACTCATTTCATTGGCAGTGGCTAGATATCGGTAGCACATCTCAATCACGTGAATTGACGAAAGTCTAATGCTTCATCAATCAGCTTATCTTTCCTACCTAATGCCTTAAACCTTACCTCATCACTTACACGATAGCTCCATCATACACAAGCAATACCATAAATACACTTATAATCAATTGATCGCAATCTGTTTATGTCTTCTACGCTCATAGCGAATGCTTTCACTGTCTTGACTTTACGGTACTTACGTTTCCCGAGAAAAATCTGGGTTGTCAATCTTATCCAAAGAAACCAAACGCTAAACACCAAAAACTACACGGTCAACTTAGTAAATTATTGATCATGTTCATCTGGAACTCGTTTAATTGTGCTAATAAATTGGACAACCCACAAGAAGAAAATGCCTAATTATTCGTTAATTCCTCATTCTGTCGAATAATAGATGTATAATCTAGTATGGTCTCGGTTAAATGAATTATTGTTTATGGGTTGGGAATAAATCTTACTTTTTTATTGTTTTCTTTTGTTTACCTCTACAAGCATTGCTGCACACTTCAGTTTTAGTTCTAGCTAGTCAACTTTCATGAGTGACTTTACTTGTCCGTCCGCACCCCCCTCCAATCAGTGATTTACGGATGTACGTTTCGTTTTGTTTATCATTAACAAGACCAAAGAATTCACCTTTTAATTCCAGTTAATCAGTAATCACTATTCAGTTGTTTGGTTGTTCATTTCTTTAAAGTGACCTGAACAACTTCACTAAAAATAAGTTTTTGATGTGACATTTTCTTACAGTCGATTGGATAATCTCTTATATATGTACGTGTATATACACCATGAGTAACCAGTACTTTTATTTCAAAATTTGACCTAATTCAGTTTTACAAAAAAGAGTTGAAATCGATCAAATATATCTGGCTATTTTGTGGTGTCTAATTTAAACTATACACGATAGTCTTATTATCATTACCTAATTTCTCTCTTAGGATTTATCACGTTCTGCTCCAGCCGATTATCCTAATAATGAAATGTCAGTAAATGACGACAATGTTAGTCCTAATGACAAAGATACAATCTCAATTGATGAAGCTACGTCAATGATGCGAGCTGCCAGTCTACGTGAACCTATCAATATAATCGATGCTCATGATAATCTTGATGGTAATAATCGGTTATACAATGTGCTACCATCTGACAAAATGGTAGCGTCAACAATTTCTAGTGGTGATGAGAAAATTTCCAATTTTCTTCAAGAAAGACCATCTAGTGCAGGTCCATTATATTCAACAGATGAACAAATAATGTATAAGCATAGTCAACCACAAATCATTTTAAATAATGTTTCAAGAGATCGTGCAAGAACTTTACCATCCAGAAAGTTGGTTGGCTTAAAACTTCCTACTGTTTTTCGATGGAATGGTGGTGGTAAAGATATATATATTAGTGGAACTTTTAATAATTGGGAGAAAAGAATCCCTATGGTTAAAAGGTAATTTATTTTGTGAAATAAATATCTCTTTTTAGTACATTTTGTTCTTGTATTATAATAAAAAGGAATGTTATTTTACACCTGTTTTATTTCATAATCAAATTTAAGTTCATTTATAATTGTCCCGATTATCCCGTTGTTGATAACTTGACTGGAATTTGGTCAGTTTTAGTTGGTATATGTAAATCCTGTGAGAATTGTCTCGATATAGCCAATCGTGACACAAGTTTGTATAGAATAGATAGAATGTGGCTAGCAGTACAATCCTGGAAGCGCGTTTCATTCTATTTGGAGCTCCTCAGCCACATGCATCTGTATTCTATAATTATTGTTCACTCTAAGACTTGAATCTATTACCTTTAGTTTCAAAAGCTAACCCATTATCTAATTGGCTAATGAGTCCGGTAGCCACTCACTTATGCAACGGGTTTGGATTTTAATCTAATTTGTAATCCTTTGGACTATCGCATTGTTTATATTTGGACTGAAATCTTAGTTGGTATATATTCAGGTACACCCAAATAGGACTAAATGCGCGTCCTCGATTTCATTACTAACCACATTCCATCTATTTTATGCAATCAAATATGTTTGAATCCAGCCATTATGCGATTAAATGACAAATGATCAGTAAATTTTATCAGGTCAGATTATTAGGACACTGAATAATCATTCTGTTAGTTTATGATAGCAAATTTCACCAATGTATCAGAAGAAGAGACTCTTCAAAAAATATTTGTTCGAACTATATGAATCTAACCAATCAATGAAGACCGATCGATACCGTTAAGCCTTAATCGGACAATAGAAAATTTAGTTTCACATCATATAATTAGTTGAATTCGACAAATTTGAAATGTCAGATGGGTTTTGTGGATATTATAGTAATTTGGATGGTTAAGATCATGAGTCAGTTGAAGCTAGACCACCATGGAAAACCTGGAAGCACTGGACGGCCGTTTCGTCCCATTGTGGGACTCCTCAGCAGTGATGCTTGGTAATTTGATTCTTTCCTATTGGAATTCTGATGTTTGCAATACCAGATTAATTAAAGTATCTCCTAGTGTTTAAATAATTTTTCTAGCCTAGTTAACTAAACAATAATTTCAATATGTTGTTATTTTTTGTTACGATACATTGAAATCATCTATCACTTTAGTGAATATATAAGATCTCAAAATGATAATAATGATAATGATGGTAGTAGCAGTAGTAGCAAATTTTCCAATAACTATAAATCATAACATTATAGAGGTTATAATGGTGTCAAGGTTATGAAATGTAAGTATTATGTGTTAAATGATGCTCATATATATTCTATTCTGAATAAATGAGTTTTGATTCATTATTATTTTATTATTAATATAAAGCAATCGGTTATGTGTAACAAATTGAATGGTAAAGTAGTCGAAATAATGTAATAACAATGGTAATAAGAAGGAATAAATATTGAGAATATGATTGGGAAAGGCGGAATGAAAAGGTATGCATGCTGGGTTACTGGTACACGAGATCTAAAAGAAAATAAAGAGTGAATGCCTCTGACCCATTATAACTGATTCTGATTCATATTAACTAATGTCTTCGATCGCTGATGAAAGTCATCGCGTGAATACCAACCAACATTAGCTCAAATCGATAATCATTGACTTCATGAACTGATACCATGTTTTGATTTGGTCACTTCTACATTTTTGTTAACTTACTTCTATACCTGTCAAAATAAGATTGATAAATATGTCGGCAGAAATTCTTGATTGAAACATAAATATTTGGTACGGCCGAGAGTAAGGAGAGTTCGCTCTCCCTCTCCAAATGCTCTCACATGGCCACGCGTATATAGCCTCTGCCAGGGAAGTCCTACTCACTGCCTTCTCGCGGCATTACTGTTGTTTACGAAATTGAGAGGACGAGAAGCGAATGTCTGGCACTTCAATCGGGAAGGTGGACACGGAGAGTCCACCTAGGGGAGTTGGAAAACCCTGATTCAAAAGCATTGGTGCACATGGGCTCCAGTACCCTAAGGGAACAAATGGCATATGAACCAATTATTGGTCACCGACTACTATGGGATTGTATCTGCTGACGTTGCTTCACCGTCTTGTGGGTCAGACCTTTAGGTCGAAGGCTCGGGATGTGGCCCCCTAAGAAGACCATTTGTGTCGGTCTGGGCACTTGTGCAGTATCACAGCCCACTCACAAATCAAGTGAATTGTGTGGCTTATATGCATTCGGTACCCCTTTGTACCAATATTTATATGTTCAAATAAATAAATAAATTCATTATTGTTAAAGTATTATAATAAATATTACCAAGTTTTTGTATTTCATGATCTAAAAAGTTTTAAGTCTACTTAATTAGAGGTCACAGAATACTACTACTACTACTACTACATATTGGACAGGAAATATTATTGTGTAAAAAAACATTTGCTCTCTTCAATTGATGGTTGTTTCAGTTCTATAGTTTAAAAACCTGTATTTCATAATGGTACAATCGATTTGATAATGTTATGAGTTACGATTTTGTGAATAAATTTTCGGTTGCTGAAATAAAATAAAATAATGCTGATTGATAGTTGAAGTGGTCAACGGATGTCGGTTTATGAAACTGAATTATTGACATAAATCTTAAACAAGATCGCTTTCTATTAAAATAGGCTTCTCGTTGTAATAAGATAACATGCTTCTACACAAATATTAACACAAAAGTAAACGTGACTAGAAATCATGTAATAAATAAACGATTAAAACATATGACAACAATAGGTCACTCATTTTAGAATGAAATTAATGCCTTACTATAAGCCGTAATTCTTATTTTAAGGGAAGACAGGGAGTGTAAATCTAAGTGTAAAATCTAAGAACCATACAGTAAATACTTCATTTGCAAAATATCAGTCAATCGTCTCAGACTTCATTGTTCCTTCGTTTCTACACCAATCATTCTCTGTTCTCGTTCTCTTTTCCTTAATTTTTTTAATCTGCTGCCAGGTATTTCACTTTCGACTGATGATACATACTACTTATATCTATGGACATCAGTAGCACACACCACGGGAGTACCAAAGTTTAGCCTAAAATAGCTGGTCATTGCTTTCTGATTTTCAGTGATGATGCCCTAGTTAGTGTCTTATTTAGGAAAAATTTCAGATTGAATAGATTTATACAAACCACCTTATTAAACTAGGATTGATTGAGTTAGAATGACATATTCGATGCCCGAAAATAGATTGACAATGACAAGAACTGGTACATTTTTCTTGATAATTACGCCTCTGTATTATGATGGTGTGACAACTTGAACTGATGTGTACATTCGACAGGTTCTTTGTTGCGTATGACTGACTATATATAACTAAATTTTCTTCTGTTATTTTGTCCCTTATTCTTATTGTGTTATTTTTCTTAGAAACTCAGGAGTTTACGTAATTATTGATTGTAAACCTGGTATTCATCAATATAAGTAATTCACTGATGGGGCATGGTATCATGACCCAACTAAAGTAAGTGAGTGAGTGAATAGTAAGCGAAATATTTTGGTTTTTAATGCTTTTTTGTTGTATAATATATCCCTCGATGAAGTAAAATCACTGTATGAATTTCTGATATTCTTGACTTGAAAGTTCTAAATACGAGTCTGTCATGCATTCAACTCAAGAGACTCACAGAATTATTGATTCCACTGATGACGAGCTCACAATTGTTTATAAATACTTGCTCTGTTTTGATGATGGTTGTAGTGGTTATCGATATTGATATTGATTGTTAGTTGTTTTTAGTCACATATATTCTTCAGTTGTAGGAATGTTGCCCTTGCTTTGCTAATTCTTGGCTTTATATTCGCATCGGGTCCTCCATGCTTATCACTGATACTGTCCAGGTACATGAAAGTCTCCACCTCTTCTAGAGCTTCTCCATCAAATGTGATTGGGTTGGCCATGCCGATTACTCCGATTGTTGGTGGAGTGATAGTTATAGGAAGGCCTGTGTGTAGCGCTTCAATGTCCATTGGGTTCAGTGAGGTTAGTTTATTCAAGAGTTCTTCAAAGTGTTCCACCCACCTGTTCCTCTATTCTTGAGTCTGAGTGATTGACTTACCTTCTTTGTCCATGACAGGTCATTCTGGTTTCCTTATCAGTTTCTTCGTTGTGTCATATAGTTGTTACATATTTTCTTATGCAGCAGCTTTTTCCACTGTTGTTCCTAGGTTTTCGATGTATTTCTGCTTATCGTCTCTAGTGCTCCTCTCCACTTACTTGTTTGCTTCTGTGTATTTGATCTGTGTCTTGATTTTCTGCTGTCTTGTTTGGCTGTTGTAAATTGCTGTTTTTTGTACTTCCTTACTTGAATTATGTCAATGATTTTGATAGAGATCTATTTCTTACGATGATGCTTCTTGCGGTTCAAAACTTGCTGACACGTTGACGTTAGTGCATCTTTGGTTTCTTTACAGTTGTCCTGCATAGTGGTTTCTTCTTCTTTGAGTAGATCTTGTAAAACTTGGAACCTGTTGTTGAATTTATCAGTATGTCGAAGGAAGGCTGTATTGAACCTATTTAATACTGATTATTCAGTTGTTCAGTGCTCTTTCAGCTTTAGGTTCATTTTGGTGACCACCGGATGGTGACCTGAGGCCATGTCAACTCCTCTCCTGGTTCTCATCTCTTCAATGAATCTTCTGAATATTTTAGTGATGCAAATATGATCAGTTTGGTTCTTTGTAGAGTGATTAGGAGAGACTCATGCAGCTATGTGTATGTGTCTGTGGAGAAATACAAGGTCACCTATAACCATTTTGTTAAATGCACACACAAGTTTGCGAACCTCTCGTCATCCTTGTTGTTTTCTCTCAGTTGGTGCATGTAGTCCCATGATATCTTCATGTTCGATGTTGTCTATTCCGACTTGGATGCTCAGGTGTCCCATCAGGATGATCAGGTCCTTTCGTGAACACATGTACATGTACTTTTATTAGTTTTCGCTCTGGTTGTCAGAAGGGACATCAGCGTCGTGACTTCCAAAGTATCTCGGCTTTCACTGTGAGGCGTCATAATTCTTTTGAATGAAGTTCCTTCAACTTTCAGAGCAGAGTTTAAATGGTGTAAATTACTTTCTTCTGATTCGCGTTTTGTCAGCAAGGTTTCTATCTACGGAATTAGGTTGTTAAACCCACTCCCAACTCTCCTCGTTTACCCAAGCTTGCGACCGGCAGTATCTTTAGAAGAGCCACAAATGGAGTATACAACTATTCATGAATATTTCTAAGTCGGATAAACGAAATTTGAAATTGGTGCCTGATAAATAATACCTTTATATGTACCTTTCTTTGATGTATATTTTTGAATTTCGATAGTCTATGGGTTGATATATATATATATATATATAACACAATCCATCGTTCAGAGTTGAATTTTAAAAGCAGTTATAATTTCTACACTACGTTTGTTTGCCCATATATATATAAGCAGACTAGGATATATAGGTATGATCCTCGATCAATGTTCAAATCCACCCACTTGATTTTCTTTCTCACGTACCATGTAGCCTTAAGACAATGTAATCTGTCTAGATTTACAGAAATATGTCTTATTTGAACTAGTTTGGGCTACCAGCAACTCTAAATTTTCGAAGTTTGTGATCAAGTGTTATTACTTCAATTGGTTAAAATATTGACTAAATTTTGAGAGTCGGATGTTGTTCTATATGAGACAGGTCGTGGTTGCTGATCTCTCTAGTTTATAATAAGCAACGAAAATTCCCCCATAATGTTAAAAGAATTAGTTTAACTAATATGACCTCTGCAAACTTAGCTTACATAATCATTAGACGCTCAACGAGAGCCGAAGATCAGTGAACACGAATATAAACAAGACAGATTGGTTGCATGAAATATTTTACTCAGGCCTAATGCCCGACTGCTGAAATCATATTACACTAGCTAGTACAGAACGATTTGGTATAGACTAAAACTAGTCAGACGAAGAAATAAATCACTGATGGTTAGTTTTGACTGTCAGAAGATGCAGATATCTTACCTGTCATCCGAAACATATGACTCAATGTCAATCTCGAACTTATACATTATCACCGTCTTCATTCTCTTAGATATTGGTTTTTAAAATTGTTAATATTCCTGTTCCGATACTTTTTATTTATTAAATCTTTTCTTTTTGTGTTAACTGGAATTACGAGGATTTTGGGTCGATTTATATTTAAGCCAAGTTTGACTCAGTTTAAGACTAAATAACTTCCTGAGTAAAATTCCACGAGAGCAACTAACAAGTCATATATATCATTTTCTAATTTTGTTAACGTATCATAGAGTATCATCTGTCCAGCAGTAAACAGATGATTAGTGACCTAGTCAGTATAGTATAAAATTGAATTCTTTTTTTTCGTAAGCATTACTAAAAGGTACGTTGAACTAATTCAAAATGTAATTCACTCTCTTTAAATATTCATATAATATAACTTCAGTTATATTTAAAATACTCTATTCAAATCATGATTAGTAGTAGTATGGGTTCGAATTATTCCGTTGTTATAATGTATAACGGAATTTTGACTAGTCTTTGCTAACATATATTCATTCTTACAGATGGAAATCATGAGTCAGTTGAAGCTAGACCACCATTGAAAAACTGGAAGCACTGGACGGCCGTTTCGTCCTAGTATGGGACTCCTCAGCATGGTGGTGGCGCAACTTCGTGGATTGGTTGAAGTTAGACATTAACACCGTTGCATGCCGGCTCAGTGGTCTAATGGTTAAGTACTCGCGCGCGAAGCCAGTAGGTCCCGGGTTCGAATCCCGCGGGGTGCGGGGTCGTGGCTGCGCACTGCTGAGGAGTCCCATACTAGGACGAAGCGGCCGTCCAGTACTTCCAGGTTCTCCATGGTGGTCTAGCTTCAACTGACTCATGATTTCAATCTGTGAAAATTTCTAAAATCTCCACAAACCCCTTCTGATAATATATTCATTCTATCTATTTTGCTAAATCAAGATAATCCTCACACAATTCACATATATTATCAATTAAATCTAATCAAAATTCAGTTCTAAATATTGACAATAAAATAATTCAAGCTTTTACTACTAGTGTTATTAATCTACCCTGGTAATATTGACTTATTATCCAGAGTGATTAGGTTTCGAATTGTGTTCACATTATTATTATTATTATTATTACTCTTATCAATTATCCTTATCTTCTCTTACCCCGTTTCCAGTCTAGTTGACCTTTTATTTTTATATATAAATGCTCTTAACATATATATGTGTGATCAGATTGTTCGAAATGTATTGCGCTAGCATATCACATAGTTCTGATAATCTTTGTATTCTTTTTACATTATCAAAACATTATATCCGTTTTGAAGTCAGTAAATTACATGTTGATGTTTGAAGTAGAATTTATTGGATTCTAATCGCCTTCTTGCTTTTGTTGGACGCAATCTTAGGCGAATGTGTTTCGTCGACGATCTGCCTCAGATAAAGTTGGAAAGCATCAACCTTGGCCTCCTCTACGAAGATTAGTCAGTATATATCCTGAGGATGACACAGGCATTCAGTGTTTGACAACGATTTTACCGGTGAAACATTCTAGTATAACTCGTACCCACCAAGGGAAATCAAAAGACAGAATCAAGCAGATCAGAAGTCGTATTTGACGATTGCCAATATATCGGAATTGTCTGGTCTAGTCTGGCTAGCGATTGCAGAAGATATTGAGCACGGCGTTCCCACACGTGATCTGGTGCGGATGCATGGCCGAGCGCCTTCAGTTAGGTGAGTTCACTAAAACTAATCTGGTCAGCACCCAATGTCGAAAACTTACAGAGCTATTTATTTCGTGGATTTATTTACCGCCACAGATTCCTCCCCGTTAGTGGGTTAGTGATGACCCTAAGACGTGGCCAGCCAGGAAATTAAACCTAACGAGTTTTGTCGTTGGTAAACACTCTTCTGATAGCTTGCTAGGTTTAGCAGCGTCTGGTCGTCTTTCTTTACTATGTGGGACCATAAAGTACAGTATAGTAAAAAAAGAAGTACAATGAAAATTTAGGCTTCTCTTAAACGTTATTGTTCTTCTCCAGCCGTCCTGGAAAAGAAAGAAGATAATGTAAGTGCATGTCGAAATACCCTCGTACGCACGTAAAAGTACAAAACTGGCCAAAAAAGTGGAAAATAAACTCATATACACGTAATATCGTTTACAAAGGATTTTTATGTATTTTTGTTTTGTTTTTCTTGAAATAAAAATAAAAACATATAAGCATATTATAATTTTTTTTCAAAAAAATATTACATATGGTAAAAAGAAAAATCGAGATAATGTAAAATGTCAAGTAGTGCCTTACGTGCAATAATCGTCTGAATGTTCTGGAAATCTTACTCTTCTACCGGAACGCGTCGTCTTAATTTTATTTTCTGATACTATTGAAGTATCATCGTGTGTGTTGCCTGTCG